ACCATAAATAGATTTGTTTAAATGGCAAACACGATTCTCCCCCTATTTAGCAAATCCTGGAGAAATTCTCATATAAACTTCTTCCTCTAAATCACCATGGAGGAAAGCATTGTTTACATCTAATTGGTGAAAAGAACAATTTTTTATAACTGCAATGGCAAGTAAACATCAGACTGTTGTAAGTTTTGCCACGGGAGAGAAGGTTTCGTGGTAATCAAGACCTTCTGTTTGAGTATATCCCTTTGCAACTAACCGAGCCTTAAAACGCTCAATTGTACCACTTGAGCGGTATTTGATCTTATAAACCCATTTGCAACCGACCACTTTTTTGTTAGGTGGGAGCGTGGTAATGGTCCAGGTATTATTTTGTTCAAGGGCTTGAATTTCTTTGGCCATAGCACCACGTCAATGAGAATATTTCGTTGCTTGATTGAAAGTAGATGGTTCAACCTCTAAAGAAAGTGTTGTAACAAAGGCAAAGTGAGAGGACGAGAGTTTATCATAGGAAATATAGTTGGAAATACGAAACCTTATACCTAAATGGGAGACCAATGATGAGGATGGTGGACTAGTCTTGGTTGGAATCAAGGCGGCACAATGGTAGTCTTGGAGATGACGAGGTGCTTGACGTGCATGGGTTGAACGACGTATTGGGTCAGATTGGATTGGTGAATCCAACATGTCAATGGAACTAGATGGAGAGACACTTGGCATTGGCATAGAATGAGAAGAATCAGATGAGGTAGAAGGTGGGTCCCTTGATTGTGAGTCAACTGATGGGCAAGGAATATTATAAGAAGTGGAAGGTGAATCATCTACGGGTATAGGTAAAACAACATTCGGATGTTGCTCAATTGTAGAATTAGAGCGAAAAGGAAAAATGTGTTCATGAAACACAACATCTCGAATAACAAAAATCGTGTGTTTTTCAAGGTCATACACATGATATGCACATTGACCATTGGGATAACCAACAAATATACATGCACGAGCTCGTGGTCCAAATTTGTCACGATGGGTATGCCCAATACTTGCATAACATAAGCATCCAAAAACTTTAAGGTGGGCATATTTTGGTTTTGATTTTAACAATTTTTCATGAGGGGTGAGATACTGTAACAAGGGATTGGGGGTGTGATTAATAAGGTATGCAGCAGTTAAGACACATTCACCCCAAAATGAAAGTGGTAAACCTGACTGAAAATAAAGAGCACGGGCAACTTGATGGATATGACGGTGTTTTCGCCCAACCACACCATTTTGTTGAGGGGTGGAAATACAACTATGTTGATGTAACACACCACCAAATGTTTCATCTCCTTTGAAAAAAACTCAAGTCCATTATCAGATTGAATTTTTTGTATATGGTAATTAAATTGAGTTTGAACATAGGAGAGAAAGTATATGTTAAGTTGTTCACTTTTGAATTTGAATTTCATGAGAAAGACCCATGTACATCGAGTAAAATCATCGACAATGGTTAAAAAAAAAGGCTCCAGAATGAGATGCAACAAAATAATAACCCCAAATGTCAATGTGAATTAATTGAAAAGAAGTCGTAGTGGAAATAGAAATCCTTGGAAAAGGCAATCTCTTTTGTTTTGCAAGAGGACAAACATCACAAATGCAATTATTATTATAAATAGAAATATCTGAAACAATAGGACCTAATTGTCTTAAAAGAGTATGCGAGGGGTGACCCAAACGCCAGTGCCATAAAGCAAAATTTAAACTAGCATAAGAAGCAAAAATAGTTGAGCTCGAAGACACGAAATGGTAGAGTTCGCCATATTCTTTACCCATCCCAATGGACGAGGGGATTGCCCTTTACATATCAGGCAATTAAATCCCGTCATTAATGGGATTGATGCAGAATATTCTATAAACAAATCCCTTGACTACTGGGATTGAAACAATATAAGGAAATAAAAAATTCTGCACATGCATAATGTGATGTCTGAAGATTTCCAAGAGAATATGAAGACAAATTGATTGCTAAGGATGCAAAGAATTTGGGGGGCAATGAAAAATTCCCTATCTTGCTCTATGTATATATCTGTGTGATGTTTATATAAATAATATGTTACGATTTTGCTTAATTAGTTTGTATCAATTGAATTGATTTCACAGTGATGATGGTAATTGGGTACAATTAGGGGTTTCATATTTTTTGTGTAGGCATGAGGTGGTGAACTAGTGAGGGGTATTGGTCATTGTTTGATGGTAGAGTGTGTGTACTGTGTGGCTGTGTGTATATGTGTGAGAGAATTAATGTAGGTAACAATGGTTGGTGACAATATTTGACATGTAAAAAGTTTATATGTTAGAGAGGAAGAAGATGGTAATGAATGTAATTGAAATGGAGTCTTGGAAGTGGGATGGGTTTAGGAGACGATCTATCGCAAGGGGGTTGTTGGAAGGTGCTATGAAGTGAGTTCAGGCTTTGGGTGGAAGAAAACTTTTGGTAAGATAGACCGAAAGCTATCTAGGAGAGAGAGTTGTGAGTTATGCAAGCAGGTTATTGGATCTTGAAGGAAGGGCAAAATGGATATTTTTTGAAGAATTGTGCGTGACATCATATACCTTTTTGTTTGCCAGCAACATCTATTGACGGTGGGGTGCGAATAAAATAGAGGGAGTGCAGGAAATTTATTGATTTAACTTGTTAATTTAATTTATTATGATATTTAAATTGATTGTAGTCCCACAAAATATTAAAATTTAGTGTTAATTCAATCTTTTTAATAAAATAATATTATTAGGTCAATTAATTAAGTCAAATATTTAGGCCTAAATAATATTACTCTTAACATTGAAATTGTGTGTCTCACAAGCTGTTTTTATGACAACTTCTTCTCATTAGATGTACACATTATATGACACTGCAGTATGTTAAACCTACTAAAAAATTTCTCTTCTTTCCATTCAAAGCTATCAATAATTTCCGATTTCAAATTGATAATATTTTGATGAATTACAAGTTAAATTTAGACCAAATTGGAAAGTAGTTGGTGAAATTGAGTTAGAACATAAATTACGTACCATATGAAATATAAATTTTAAAGGTACTCAATTTTGTCAAATTGTCGACCCATCAACTATGGAGAAGAGAGGAAATTGAACAGCCATGTTTTCAACACCATTGTCACTCAACTTTATTGCTTTAAAAAAAATTGTGTTAAACAAATATTACATTTTGCTTTTTTTAAATTGTAATAATATTCAAAAAATACTTTAAAAAAACTTGCAAATAAAATAAACTAGTTATTGGACACGAAAATTTCATGTCTATTACAAATTTCTTGAAGCAAATTAAGGACTAGCTCATTAGAGTCCATTTTATTCCTTACATGGTTGGCTGGTACTTTCGGGTGAATACAAACTAGGTACCCAATTGTTTTGATATTCATCGTAAACATCATATCTTTTATCATCAATTATCCTAAACCTACAAGTATTCTTGCATCTACTTCTAGGAAATGGACAGAAAACCCCTTGAGGTCCCCATTCCACAACGTTCATGTGAATGCTCTTGTTATGTTTTTGTACGAAACACCTCAAGATTGTTGGATCAACAACCTTGAACATATAGCTTATACTCTGTTGAGGAGCCAAATTGTTCACAAACTCATCCGGACCGCATGACACGAAGTACTCGAATTGACCCATGTTGGTTATCTCTATGGGTTCCCACACAAACTGTGTTTTCAGAGGAGCCGTGACCGGGGGCGCAGAGTCCGAGATCGTGGTGGCACTGATTCCTGGTGATGAGGTCATGAGGAGGAAGAAGAAGATGAGGAGGGGTATAAAACTAGTATCCATAGGTGATGGATGTGATAATGTGGTATGCAATTTGACCGTTCATTTGTTCTGGTTTTTATAGATTAAGCAATTAAGGGTAGTTAACTGCTGCTTTTAATTGAGCATTAGTGGGAAATGAATGTAATTTTTTAGGGAACATGGAAAGAAAACGCTTTGGGATTATGTAATAAGTTTTAAGTAATGTAATCTTGAAGGATGCATAGAAAGAAAAGGCTTTGGGATTATATACAAAGTTCTCTTACAACAAGAAGCGTTTCTTTTTCTTTTTTTTTTGTGGGAATTTGTCCCAAACGAGTTGTGTTGTGTTGAGGTCTTGTTATGTATTTTTTTTTCTTTTTTTGAGTTAGTGTCATGTTCTTTTTAATAAGAATAATGTCTAATTTTAAAATTATAAACTACAAAGTTAATACAATAAAAATCATATGTTCTTATAACACCCATCAAACAAATCATGTAATGTCCGCAAAGATCCTAAGTTCATATTTTGTCAGTGATTCAATGTTACGTTCAAATAGTTACAAGTTCTAACCTCTCACAAGTTTTGGGGTTTTTAGATTAACAGTTGGGTTCATAACAATTACTATAAGAGCAGGCCTCACGTCATGAGTTCGATTCGCGGAAGGGACCATCTATAAGCTGGATTAAAATATCTTATTATTATATATGAGCATAGTATCATCCCCTTAGATACTAGTAGGGGAGTGGAACCCAAAAAGAGAAAAGACTAATGTTAAATCAGTGTCAGGAGCCGCCGTAGATGTCGGCTCTCTGAAGCACAAAAATTTTCCAAATAAGGCATGAACCACAAAAATAAAAATCCTGCAGACTGGTGCAAATTTCGTAAACCACTTCAAGTTTGAGTAATTATATTTTAGCCATTTTAACTTCTGTGTAATATTTGAGATTGATTGTTTTGAGTGAATGAATGATGTATAGGCTTCAATGGCTTGCTGGGGGAGGTGCTGGACGACTGCATGAGCTGAGGCTATTGTTTGACCTGCGTTATACAATATTGTCCATTTCGGACTAGACTAAAAGATCTGTGAGGCTAATCAATGGCAATTTAGCAGTGGTCTTGCTCGTCATATGTATGTTGAATCTAACACAAATTTCTGGGCAAACTCAAAGTATTAGCGGCAATATTGTCTGTCAACACAAGGTGTAAGAAATATAATAAATGATGGTAAGATGATTACTCATAGAGCTACGTTGACTGTACACAGGACAAAATTATGGCAAAAAAATGAGGATGAGAATATTGCTACGAGGTTACCAGTAATCCTCACAAGAACAAACCCCATTTTTGAAATGGTGGAAGCGATTCACATCCCGAACTAAAATTTCTCGACCTGCAAACTTTGAAATGAACTTTGTAAAAGTGTGACAATCTTCGCATAATCTTAAGTTCTTGGTGATCCTGATAGCATCCCTTTTATTGCTATTAATCAATCCGAAGGCAACTGCAAGTTTTTCACTGTGGCCCAATAAAATTCGTTCTTTCTCCTCTGTATCAAGATCATAGAGCACAACTTTTGTTTCAGGAACATAACCTTTCTCTTTCATCTCCATTGAAAGTTTCAGCAATAATGCATGGATTTGTTCAATCTGCGGGTTTAACTCGTCAACTGATGTGAGTGAGTAAATTTTCCTTTTAACTTCAATCCAACTGCAACCGGGTACCTTCTGCAGTCCCCGGGCCTCTAAAAGTTTCTTCACTCTTTTTACATCATCCCACATCTTAGCTTCTGCATAGATGTCGGCCAAAAGTACGTAGTTCCCAGCATTTACAGGTTCAAGCTCAAAAAGCCTCCTGCTTGCCCTGTCCGCAAGCTCGACATTGCAATGAATCCTACATGATCCAAGAAGAGAACCCCAAACTTTAGGTCCTGGTTCAATCCGCATACCTTCTATAATCTTAGCTGCTTCATCTAGTCGATTGGCTCGGCCAAGAAGATCAACCATACAAGCATAATGCTCTACACTTGGGTATATCCCATATTCTTTAACCATAGATTCAAACAAAATTTATGTAATTGTATGGTTGGTCAGGAATTATATTCTCTGCAATATACTTAAGGGTTTGTATTACTAAGTTTATGTAGATAGATCATAGAAGTCCAGAGCTTCTTCACTCTCTTGGCATACACTTGTTTCTAACATTTTATTGTGAAAGGAAAAGCTATTTATATTGACTCGGGTTCAATATCAAAGAAAAGAAGCTATTTCTACGACGCTTGATATTTCTATGCAAATTCAATTATCAAGATGATTGGAAACTATTCAAGGGTCAATTGCTTGATGTTCAACTTGAAAAGACAACAAATATGAATTAAATGATATGCATTCGAGACAAATTAGAGTGTACCACTCAATTTCAAATAGGAAGGACCTACACGAGTAGAGATTAAGCCTCTAAGAAAATTAGCAAGGTCCAGGAATTTAGCTACACATTATCTCAATGGTAGTTGTTACCAACTTTTTCTAGAAAGCTTGTGATGATCTTTGTATACTAAGACAAAAGTATCTATCTTGGGTGTAGTGTGCCACTATGGTCGGTGAATATTGGAGTGAGATCCAGTCTCATCAGGTGGATTGTCGTTCACACTAGTACAAATCTTTGGAGATCACTTCTTGTGTGATCATTCGGCATTTTTGAATAAATTATCTCATGGATCCAAGAGCCCCAAAGTTTTTTCTTAGGCCACCGTGACTGCTGCAACATAAAGAATGCTTAGAAAGCATTGGTTTGGTCAATCCTTGTGCTTCCTCAAGGCAAATCCTATGTAGACCACCTTGTGAAACATGCCTTACACTAGAAGGATGTATTTATGACAAATTACATCTGATTATTACGTAAGATCTGAATAGAGAGATACCCAAGATATCTAGTTTAAGAAGTCAATGATTGAAAAATATTTTAGCTTAAAGGCGCTAAAATATGGAATAAGAGGAATCAAAGTGTACCACTTGATTCCTAATGGGCAGCACCTACACGTATGAAGATCAACTCTCTATAAACACCTACGAAAACCAAGAATTTAGATATGAGATGCATCATGGAAGCCTAAGGGGCAAGGTCATTTACCTCGTTGAATAACTATTCCAGAGAAAAATAGATTATTTACTACTACGAATTGCTATTCATGGACGAATGTTTAGCATGCAAGAGGTCTTCTTCATCCATGCTTCACATGAGTAAAATGTCTTGATGGATATGTGCTCACATGTTATTCAATATACTTTGAGATGGAAGCAAGAAAGAGATAGGTATTAATTATCTAGGCCCACTAGACTTGCACCTTGGACAAATACTCATGCTCAGTAGGATGGCAAATTCAACATTCTAGAAGTAATTTGATATTTTTATGAGGACTTGACCCCCAATACATGTTTGCAAAGCCCCACCATACAAGCACAAGAACGAATTAGCTACAAGTTATGCTCACGATTCCTTCAGTCATACATGATGATACCTTGTAGTTTCTTATGGGACACTATCTGCCCAAACAAAGCTTAAAAGGCTGAGTTCAAGAATCAAAACCACATCAAGAAATGGTGAGGCTAACCACCTAAAAAATCAAAGGACTCGCCAACCCAAGTAGAAGTTAATAAGGACGCTTGTGCTAAGGAAAAGCCATGGAGAGCATTTCTCGAAAGATCAAGTTTTCAATGACACCGTGGGCAAAGAATTTCATCGAGCTCTCACCAATAAGTGGTCGGTCTATCGCAGGGGATCACAAGGAAAAGAGCACACCGCCAGAGTTCACTCTCTTTGCAAGAGAATTATTCAAGTATATTGTCGAACGTCAGTAATGCATCAAGTGGAACACCATCAACAACCTGACAAAGAATAATGTCACCGTATCATCAAGAATGCCCCCTAGCTGTTGAAATCCAGCTCTCAGTCTACAACTTGACCACTATAAGGTGGCAAGGCTACATGCACACGATAAAGGGCTGAGTATGGACCAAGCGAAACAGAACTTCACAAATTATTCCTGCTCTTACCATAGTTCTTTCCATGTGGTGGAATACTATATATAGGGCACATGTAGATCCAAAATGAGCCTTGGGAGACAGCTTGAAAATGCCTTGATGAAAGGAAAAGATCCAAAATAGTAACAAAATCCATAGTACTTCATCAACACGAATCACAGCTAGGCATTAAAAAGTCAAACATTGCATGTGTCCCCGCAATATAGTAAGTCCAGGTCGAAGAAGGTGTGGGATGTACCAAGTGCACCTTCCCTCAAGTCAATACGTTAATTGATAGAAACTACAAGCCAAAATAAGAATTGACATCCTTTTATAAATGATATGCCTAAGCTCTTGAGCTGGGATTATTGATGCTGTATCACTTCAAGGGAGTGCCTCCCATATACATACATGATTGAGTTTTTGAGTTGCACCTTCAGCGGAGTACCTCCCGCAAGTGAAAAAGATTGGAATTTAGAGCTAATCTTTTTGTGGAGTACCTACAACGGGAAAGATGCCTAATAGCGGAGTACCTCCCGCAAATGAATAAGATTGAGCTTCAGAGCTAATCTTTTTGTAGAGTATCTACCACAGGAAAGATGTCTAACGGTGGAGTACCTCTTGCAAGTAAATAAGATTGAGCCATAAAACTAATTTTTGTGGAGTACCTGCCACATCAAAGCCCCGAGAAGACTCGAGCATAGGCCAACATATTGCTAAGGTAGAGAGGAAAAAATCCTGACAGAGGCAAGGACCTAGCTCAGGTGAATCCATCCGATCAAATTTAGGCCCATGGCTAGGCACGACGGTGTAAGCCATATGGGTAAAGTTTGAAGACCAATTAGATCGGCGGATCTGTGCAAAGGTGACAATAAGTGACCAAGAATTGATGCTCGAACCCTTCAACGAGGCAGGTCCTCTTGGCTAGGGGAAGGGGGCACAAAAAATGCCTTTTTATGAGGAGCAATGCAAGGCAATTAATGAAAGAAAGGATTGTAAACAGAGAATATCTCCTAGTGTGCCACATGAAAAATATTCTATGGGGGCAAATGAACGGGTCAATAAATTTTGATCATTATTTAACAATTAGATTTGGACACGTGGCAAGTTGCATGTACTGAAAAGTATTATTTAGAACGACTCTACTACGACCGAGCAGATAGCTAGGCTATCTTGGCCGAGCTAAAATTGGTCTGACCTAATAAAGGATAAACCTCGACCGAGCAGATAGCTAGGCTATCCCGACCGAGCTAAAATTGGTCCGACCTAGTAGAGGATAAAACTCGACCCAACAGACAGTTAAGTTTTTCCAGCCGAGCAAAGGATGAGATCCGACCAAGTTGTCATCAAATAGCAACTGAGTTGATCAGAAAGCTCATAAAGGAAGGAATGAACTTGGTCCTCGTCACGATCAAGCTATTTAAAATAGTAACGTGGTGCTAAAAAGATGCCTACAATTCAGGCATTCTGGTTAAACAACTTTCTGAATAGAATCACCTGATTAGGGGAAGATGTACCACCATGAATCAAAAATCATGGAAACCCAAACTAAAAAAGACCCTACAAAAGGCATAAGGAGTCAAGGTGAAAATTACGCTAAACTCTCCTTGTCTTCTTGCAATTGTCTCAGTTTCATTATTGACTTAAGCATCAGAGTGCATTCGATCGAAGCACTTCGATCTTGGGCAGTTTGTTCGTTTTATAGGAATTAAAAATTGGAAGATCAAGTTCAGAGCTCACTCTTGTCAGAAACATTCATTCTTTATTCTTATAGGATGTATCCTCAATTTTTACCCCTTACAGGACTTGTCACTTTTCTAATGCCGATAGGCAAAAGTGTTGACCGGCAAGTATAAGCCACTAAGGCACGTGGGCCACGCTGAGGCAGCCACCAAGGCATTGCCAATCGACAGAGGTGTTGATCAATAGGAACTTTGATTGTCAATAAGCACTTTGTGGTTTGTATGCTTCTGTTGGACAAGCAAAGATTAACATAAGACCTAGATTTCTACAATGCTACATCAAATAACAAGTGGCAAATTTAGAAGCAAGAGTCTCAATCTAATTTTATCTCGAATTTTTAAGGTCTGGTGATGAAGTCTATCTTATCATAACTTAGAGTTCGAGGTCCTTTAAGATACAACTTCCTACCACTATAAATAGAGGTCTTCGGGTACTAGGTAAGACATTCAATCCCAGCATCCTCATTCTACATACTTTTCTTTGACTTGCAATAAGATTTATGTATAGGAGTCCCTTTGGCTGCCTCCAGTCATCGGTTTACTTAGGTGTTCTCTTATTTTATAGGTTAGTCAAGAGTTACTCACCACCCTCTCTATCCATACGAGGTGGTTACTCTTTGTGTAGATTTATTTTCGCACAATTTCCGTATGTGAGAAATGACTAAGTTTTCTTGCAACCTAAAAGCCTTGAACCATATCTGACGAGAGAACCAACAACCATTCAACTAGCCGTTTGACACTTACATTACCCTTAATCCTTGTAATTGCCTAGCAACGTGCTTCTCTGAGATGGGCAGAAGTTACTAGAAGAGCAACACATTCTCTGTCACAACCTACCGCCCTTGGTGAAGAGGAAGAGAACCAACTACTTAGGGTGCCTATTAGGAATTAATAATAAAAAAGATGGAGGAGCTAGAAGCCCTCAAACAAGGGCTCCTTCTCCACAGGGGCAATAAACTTTCTAGTTAGGTTATACATCCTACCTCGTCAAAGTGACCATCACAATGATCACTCACATTAGGCTCAATCCATCCGTCATAGGAGTAAGTTACTAACGAGGAATTGACCTATGATCAACGTCAAGGAAGATACTCACCAAAATACACTATTTCTTAACTCTTTCATAGGGACCTTTCACCTAGACGACATCCTTCTCGGCATATGGAGAGGGGGGCGAGTCACATAGGGAATATCGCCCCAGGGAACATAGAGAAAGGCACAAGGGCTTAACCCGTCATTCTCCACGAGATAACTAGTATGATGATTATGGAAGAAAAAAAATGTATGCACTTT